TTACTTGTTTAACAAAGCCTTGGTAAGTAAACGTGCTCTCTTGTGATGGTCTGATCCAAGAGGCCGACTCCGATACCAGCTGCGTCGCCGCCATTAATACACTCCTGCCTGCTATAATGGCAGATCATTCAGGGCAACTGGCGTGACGTGACGTAACTGGCGAGGCTGCGCATAAGAGTGTTATAACGAGGGCACTTCTTTGTGATGAATGCCGATGATGTATTGCTGGGTATGCGCAGCAGAGGATTACCCTGTCGGTCACAGGGGGCGGAACTCCCAGCTACTGCTGCAGGGCTAAGTGTCCCAAACAGCCAATAAAGCTGGTTTTCTTGTTCATCCTTAAACTTTCACTTGGGTAATCGCTTTGATCGCAAGCTCCATAGAGCTACAAGTATGTAGCTATACTTTAATGCATGTTCTTCACGCCATACCTTCCATCGAGTCGACTGGAATCGCTTAGTTCAAAAGTTCGTTTTACAGATCTAAATTTCAAACAAAGAACACTTGTTTGTTCGTATAAACCAAAATATATTCGTGTTACGCAATCTGCTTAGTAAGTAAACAACAAGTTCCATTTCTGCGGAAACACCCTACTTCGTTCATATTGACGCTACCATACTACCATTCTAACATGAGCATTTGTTGCCCCACACAAATTAGTTGGGGCTTTTCGCCGTAATTAAGTTTCCTATGATTCTTGTGATTACTTATTTATCGCCGTCTATCACTAGCACCAAGAGTCATTTTTGAACCGTTGATGGTACACGAGCAACCTCACACGGTTACGAGCGAAATGAAGGCAGACTATGATTTATTAAAAAGCACACTTATGGGGAAGCCTTCAGCCTTTACCCCACAGGGTTTTAAACTAAAAATAAAAAACAATTGCCACAATATGAAGCGAGCCGCCTTATTTGGCATATCATCAAACGCTTACCTTGCGGCACGGTTTAGCGGGTGGTGATCTTTGAAGCTGACCAGCTAATGCTATTATTCCTAGCTGCTATTATCTACTCTTATAGATTTCATGGTGAGACTTTTTTGGCAATTGTAGTCGAACCCCTGATATCACACGACCGAACGACAATAACGGCAGCGATTCTTTGCGTTATCATAGTTCCGTGAACATGGTCTTCATCTAGGACGATACACGTTTAGCAGCGATCTTCCAGAATTTTCATTTTGACTAGCTGCTATCTTTCGTTATTGACTACTAGTCGCTTTCGAAAATTCTAGCATTTGACCTGTTTTGTACCTTTGTAAACATACCTAGCTTTATAATCATTTTTTTTGGCAAATTATTTTACCACAATGCTTTATGGCTCTCCGTTCGACTGAGATATCGAATCTATCGCTCGACCGATTACTTGCGATTGTCGACGGTCACCACTGATAACAATCGATAACGATGCGCGAGTTTTGTGGAACGTAATGACTGATCTGTCTAATTCCAACGTATGTGTGTTCCCCGGGCTTTTGATGCCTCCGCCCACCAGGCGGCGATCATCGTCGTCGCATATGAATATATACGTATAATATTGAACGCAGTTTCTGCCATGATCGTTTACTCATAGCTAATTTTGAGTGAAGTGACCATGTAGAAGAACCGATCTTCTTTTCTTCGAACTGCCATCGCTGTTCAGCAACTCATAATTGGCTAATTTTTTTGTAAAAATAAATACGTGCCTAAATAGGACGCGATTTAGATTTAATTAGCTAATCTATTTTTCACGGCCTCCTGTTGTTACTTAACCGCATTAGTTTTTCCACAAAACTTAACAGCTCTCACTATAACGAAGTTTTCGGAAGAGCTCAGCATTTCCGTGCAGAAAAGCGGCTCTAAACTAATCTACAGCGGGAAATAGTGTTAATAAAGAATATGCTATTGGTCAGTAGATTCTCTGCCATTTATAAACAGCCTATTTACAAAGGAGCACGAATCATAAACGTTTCGTAACAGTCTGGCTATACGACATATATGTCGAGAGTTTTTTAGCATCAACTCTGACGGAGGCATCCGATGTAAGTACTATGTGGAACATACCGGAAAAAAGATCTTCCACCATAGGGGACTAGCTAATAGCTCCATTTGGTTTTTCAATGCAGCCTAAGTTATAGCGACTCGTTAAGCGAAAAGTGCGCAACAATCCTCTAATTAAGTCTTCTATAGCACCGATTATAATAGAGCTAAACAATTTTTTAAAAATAGTAAGTAACAATTAATTAATAATAACAAGAAATATTTTCGCTAAAAGATGAAAATTCGTAAAAGAAACGTAAACCTAATATGTTCTTTAAAATGTATTTAGCAGCTTTTACATGGCTACTTAATACTATCGTTTATTTCGATTTGATTTTCATTAAACTAACACTTAACTTTTTTTAAGTCCGTTTCTAATCAGCAGAAAAAGTCACGCTTTGCATTGAGATTCTTCAGGAGTTCCCAATGTTTTTGGGTCTTCTTCTTATGATAATAATTAGTATTATTACCACTGGCATCAACAACGTTCTATTCAAAGCGACCAAAAATACATCTTAGTAAAAAGTGACGACACTGAAGCATCTATAAGATTCGTGATACATAAGTAATACAACTAGCCTTGCTATATAGAGGCGTAGTTAATTATACTAATTATTTTCTTTTACTGCCCAGTTACTTTTCCATGAGATTGTATCAAAGACTACAACGAACTTTTGAAACGAACCGTCGTACAGCTGAATATCACGTTATCCCTTCGGACGATTACGTCCAGGATGGTTAGCTTGTCGAAAAAGCGTCCCGTCCTGCATCTGCAATCGTGTGTAGAATCTGATCTGTTACAATAGCAGAACGAACGTCCGGAAATCGTTACATGGGCAAGTGTAAAGGGGCGGTAGATTTGGTTACGGGGCGCTGCTAAGTGCTTGACTTCTAAGTCGACTTCTCTTTTGTGCATTTGCCCCCCGTTGGCTTCTACAGAATCATACAATATCACCTGTTTGACCGAGTGCGTGAAAGCTAGATTTACTTTTCGCTGAAGTATTGCTGGTGCCGAACGAGTTGGAAGCTGCATATTGTTCCGAAGGCCGTTTTCCGATACGGATTTTTTTGGCTTACATTTTTGGGCATATAACGGCATGACCCATATGGGTTAAGAGATTAACCACAGGGCTATGATGTGCGGTGCCTATAGAATGCATATGGTCAAAAGAGAATGATAAGAACCTGTATGACTGCTAGCACAGCTGTATGACAAGTAGCTGTTCAGGTACGAGCGAAGCTGCTAACAGATAGTTGTTTGGATGCAATAAAAACAGGGTCTCCTATGCTCCAAGTAACATATGACGCAAGTAACTTTTGAATTGAAGTCATGTAATTGACATTTGTTTATCATGCCAAAGAGAAATTTAGTCCTTTAAAATAACTAAATGGGCATTTAATTTTTTCGTTCGCTCTTAAACAAAAGAGCATAATCCAGCTCCTTATTAGACCTATTTAGTCATACTTGAACGAATGTTCCATAGTCAAACATGCTTCTTAGTCTCCAGCTGGAAATTGCTCTTCGAAATAGGTCATAGAATTGGCCTCGTAAGGCCAGTCCATTACAGCTATGAGCAGTGGGTCGATCGAGAACGAGTAGGATCTGTTCAAAATGTAGATTGTATTTAATGTTGTCGATGAGATCCATTCAAAGACCCTTTACTTGGACAATTCCGGCCGTAGCAAACAATTGGAGCATCGCGTGTTACAACAGTTGCATGTAGAAATCAGACTGCGGACCATTTCGTTTTGCTTTTGATTCTTCAATCAAAGAATAGGTAGGGTGAAGCTCGTGCGCTCAATGGCAGTGCCTCATCAGAACATCAATGAACTTCTGTTGAATGCGGGCTTGGAATCGTCAACATAGAATGGATCATATAGATCCCAATTCGAGTGTTCGTTCCATATAATCCTAACGCATTTAGCGTAGTTACATATATTGTATCAGACGCGTCAGGTAAGCGTCCATCTCAACGACACTCAAACAATTATTATATAGAATTAGGTCCATGAACTGAATGTTCCAAGTAGTCTTAGATGTATCAATTCTGACGTTTACGCTACCTCTCTGACATATGGGGCTGGAGTATACTGGATATTATTACGTTGCAGTTAGAGAAAATGCTTAAGCTTATGGTTTATAGAAGAGAAAGGCGCTAGGCGGGGGTTCAGCGAGTACAACGAAAAATGGCTGTGTCTTACTTGGTTCCTTGCTATTGCAGAGACTGATTTCAATCTTATAAAATACGTGCACAGAATTTAAACAACGAAGCTGTTGCTGCACGTTCGGCGTGTTCCGCCCTGTTTTTGCGCTTGGCCTAGGATGAAGTCAGGTTACATTATTTAGAAATAGTTGGAAACAATTTTCTATAGATGTAAATTGAATAATGAATGTTGCAGTTTATCAAAGAAAGACGAAATTAAATATTTTTAGATTGTTTCTATCGAGCACTCGGATATTCAATTCGGATATTCGGTCTATTAGAATATGTTTCTGTCGCGTGTTTGCTCGCTGAACATTTAGACATAAATTATAGCTCGCTGAACATTTAGACATAAATTATAGCTCGCTGAACATCTAGACATAAATTATAGCCCGCTGTCTGGTAGAGTGCTTAACGGCAATACGCTGGACGTCAAATTCACCAATTAGGCTTGTATATAACAAATGTGCAACTGTCGACGAGCGCGGGATTATCCTGTCAATCGTAGGTGATCGCTGTGAAACATGTAGCCGATACACTCGATCTCCTATGCTGCGCGGTTGTAAGGCCATTAAGTGGGGCTGTTGAAGAAAGGCCAGGTACAGCGAGTCGTTCAACATGGCCTATCGAAGTACATTGAGTTCATCTATCTGTTGGGCTCTCGTTCTGTCAGCTTAACAACCATTTTCTACCCAACCGCGTTTATGCAAGAGCATTGAGTCATTTAGAAAACCTTCACTCAGTTTCTAAAGTACAGAGGAATAAAAAGACCCTACCTTAAGTTCGTTTCGATTAAATTTAGTCCTTTTGAGTAGATCTTCAATTTTCTCGGGTTGGTAACGCGGGGCAGGAACTTGTATTGTCTCTACCTCATCATCTGAAATAGAATGAAAAGTTCGATAGTTACATATCGTTTATGCCATTTTTACCTTTTCGATCGGTTCACTCAGATTTCTATTTAGTTTTTATATTATATTATTAGTTAGCTTTTTTATAAATATAAAATTGACTGTATCAAGACTCAGGTCAATGGATACCGGCATAGGACTTATTTGCGGCGTAGCGTTTCAGCTCTTCCCCAGCAGCCATTATAGACAGTTCCATAGAGATCAAGCAGTCCCAATAAGACGTATCAATTCCGATTAGTTACGGGCCTATGATTTTATAGAACTGCAAATAAACGTACAGAGCGCCCTCGCTATATTAAAGTGGGCGTCTTTATCGGTGACACAGTTGGAAGAATTACCAGGTGGGCAGTACTCGATCGTCATTTATCTTCCCCGATCTTCTAGTAAGTAGCAATACGACGTTCATTTTTAATGACCTGACTAACGTAACCCATTTGGAATAACCCCATAGCGAATGGCAGTTAAATAGAAAAAGTCTTATTTAGGAGTTACGCGAAGATATTAGTACCGACCGCGCAATGAATGCCTATCACGGAGATCTCTCAGCCATAATAACGCAACGGGTACTTGTACTACCTAGCTAAGCTATTATACAGTACTGTGCGTCACTCAGCCGGCCGTAGTTATTTCGTTTACGTAGAAGACACTTAGTATAGTTTAAGTACAATGGCAATGTTAATTAGTTGTGCTATCTGTGCACTTCGGGAACACCTGGTAAGATGAAACGGTTACTGAATGCATCTAACACGTTCCTTTTATCCTATCAAACGTACAATCAAGCTTTTGGGCAAATTTTCAAACCCAAACACTTGCCAGCACCAATACACATAACGCGCAAAGTCTTTTTTTTCTACATTAGGGTTTTTTTTTCATATTATATTAGAATATAGCAATTACTTGTGTAACAAAAAGAAACGGAACGAATTACTTTGACTTTCGCAAAATACGTATTAATATATATATATATATGTATTATATAATTATGGAAATTTCACTTTCTATATGCTATATGTGCACGCTACCTGTTACTGCTATACTTATCGTTATTTTTATTACTGTTTTTTTTTTTTGTTTTATATCTCTAATCTACATCACTTCTTCGCCAAGAAAGCTGTTTCAGTTACACACATTTTCTAGCTTGCTAGCGATAAATTCAATGGTCGTCATATGATGATACTATAAAATGATACTTTGAAACGCACGGTAACTTTTTAAAAAAATTAGTGGCATTTCTCTCATAAGAGCTGCGCATCTAGGAATCATCGAGATTTTAGTGGTTTATATATATATGTATATATATATACGTATGTATGTAATGAAAACATATCGGTATCTTATTGGCAGTTGAGCGCAGCGATCGTATATTGTTTTATAAATACAAGGCTATAAATGCAAGTTTCGAAGCTTAACCTTGAAAATGTTTGCTGATTTTCTATGGAACCTTCTCAGTCACCAATTCTATTCATAGACGGAAAATGACCGTTCTAAATATGACGGTCTTCAGGTGGACACGGTAGAGAAGGGTGATAGCATCTGGAATAAAGTGAATCCTGCGTAATCTTCTATTTGAGCCTTGATAACTTTCCTGCTAACAAATAGTGCCTTAATCGATGAACGGTGGCCGTGTGCCTATTGAATAGCCGGAAACAATACAATAGATTGATCCATGAATGTAACGGAATAGGTGGAAGACGTTTTATCGTAAGTCGAACGCGATGTGGGCTAAACTGTGCTAGATAGGAAGATACGTAAACGTTTACCTTTAGAGTATTAGATAAGGAAGAAGAACTGCAACGTTATTATTAGAGACGCTCACATCCTAAACGATCAAAATTATAAAATGACGCATTACTTGGCATCTATTTACCATAGTGTAGTACTAACCTGCGCCTATGTCTACCGTTCAGCTACCCTTTCGAAGAATGTTTTATTACGATTATTTATTTAACAAGTAATAAAACATTTGAGGACGCCACTGCTCATGACCAATCCGATTAGGAACATTTTCCTATGATAACTAACCTAATTTCGCTTGCTAAACCTAATTAGCAAAACACAATAGTAGTAGTAATAACTGTGTGCAGTGTATATGTTTGACAGTACATACCGTTCTCTTTTCAAGTTCAATTGAAACCTAGTTTAGGTCTGGATCCGAGTTCCGAACCAAAGCTCGTTGCAGTTTTAGCACCTTTCGTAAATTATTTTACGTATCCCATGACCGTACTTAGGTTGTTCAGTTAGTCAGATATTTCGCTGTGTTTACCCTGATTGTCCTGCAGCAGGTGTTCCATATACCTATGTCAGTTATCTCCTATTCTAAACTGTCATACGGTTACTTTACTGTTTTAAAGTGAATCGAGTATTAAAAACTGCAAAAAAAGAAACAGCATTATCAAAATCCCGTGCAAATGATACAATGATCTTAGAAGCAACTTAGATTGATAACTTTAAAAATCGTGCATAAGAATTTTTTTCCAAAATACTTGTTTCTGTTTCTAGTGCATAAGTGTCGAAAGATTAAGCAGCTTTTTGAATTAAATGCACATATTTTGATACGTTGTTGAGAAAGCTAGATAATTTCTCACTTCGTTTATATAGACGGTCGTATTTTCTTTTCATGGTTCTTGCATCAAGCTAAGCCTTATCAGATTTGTCTTTTTTCTA